AGGATTTAGGCTTCGTGGAATCATGAAGTTGGGGCAGGATTTAGGCTTCGTGGAACCATGAAGCTGGGGCAGGATTTAGGCTTCATGGAATCATGAAGTTGGGGCAGGATTTAGGCTTCGTGGAACCATGAAGCTGGGGCAGGATTTAGGCTTCGTGGAACCATGAAGCTGGGGCAGAATTTAGGCTTTGTGGAGCCATGAAGTTAGGGCAGGATTTAGGCTTCATGGAGCTATGAAGCTGGGGCAGGATTTAGGCTTCGTGGAGCCATGAAGCTGGGGCAGGATTTAGGCTTCGTGGAACCATGAAGCTGGGGCAGGATTTAGGCTTCATGGAATCATTTAGTTGGGGCAGGATTTAGGCTTCGTGGAACCATGAAGCTGGGGCAGGATTTAGGCTTCGTGGAACCATGAAGCTGGGGCAGAATTTAGGCTTTGTGGAGCCATGAAGTTAGGGCAGGATTTAGGCTTCATGGAGCTATGAAGCTGGGGCAGGATTTAGGCTTCGTGGAGCCATGAAGCTGGGGCAGGATTTAGGCTTCGTGGAACCATGAAGCTGGGGCAGGATTTAGGCTTCATGGAATCATTTAGTTGGGGCAGGATTTAGGCTTCGTGGAACCATGAAGCTGGGGCAGGATTTAGGCTTCGTGGAACCATGAAGCTGGGGCAGAATTTAGGCTTTGTGGAGCCATGAAGTTAGGGCAGGATTTAGGCTTCATGGAGCTATGAAGCTGGGGCAGGATTTAGGCTTCGTGGAGCCATGAAGCTGGGGCAGGATTTAGGCTTCGTGGAACCATGAAGCTGGGGCAGGATTTAGGCTTCATGGAGCCACAAAGCTGGGCAGGATTTAGGCTTCATGGAACAAAACCTAGTTAGCTGGACTTAGAGTCCTGGAGCTAGGAGGTATAGTGCCTGCATTTTGGAGGAGTGAGGATGTTGCAGTTTGGAGGGTCATCTGAACAATGTCTGCAAGCTTCTGGAAAAACAGTGATTGAATGAATGACAGTGAATGGTTTTTCCTCTTTCATGGGTTACCAAATATCGGTGGAAGACAGCTGGTATGTTTAAAATGACAAGTACCTTTAATTATCTCTCTTTCTCTCTCCTATTACTGCAATGTTCATTACAAAACCTGTAAGAATTATATAGTGCCTGAGGTTATGGGAAGTAATCAGGTTTGGCCTGAGAAAAAAAAAAAAACTCCAATTCCTTGGACCAAGAGCCATGACTACCATCAAGGCCTTTGAAAGAAATGACTTGTAGCTAAGTACTGTAGTCAATTTGGTTTTGACCAGTGGCGGCTCGTAGCTAAAATTAGTGGAGGTGCTGCTTCAGAAAATTTTTAGCCATTGTTTTAATATTGTGTAAAATAAAAGAACCAAAAAAACTATGAATTAAATAAAATAGCTGGAAGCATGATAATCAACTAATTCTATACTTTATCACATTCAAGAATATGGTACATGGTTTTTAAGCACAACACACGTCGCTGATTCAAAAAGAAACACTACCTTGCACTTTCACAACAGGGTCGGCACTGTGTCAGTTACAGTGCTCTCTCTACCTAGTATGCAGTGTCTTATCTTGGACATGTGTGCATGTGCACAACAGCCAAACACCAAGTAGCTGGAACTGTGAAGCGCACAGATCCATACAAGGATTTTTTGTAATTTTTTCATGTACTAGGGGATGGCTACTAACATTAAGCTTAAGGATTTTATAATGTACAAGTATAAAGAAAGAATTAAAGAAAAAAAAGACTCATTATATTGAATGTTATCAATAATATCGAGTGAAAATAGGGGGTGCTGCAGTTCAGCAGTGCCTATACATGATCCGCCACTGGTTTTGACACCATTGAATTGACAGACTACGGTATATTATTCTATTTTAACTCATTTCAAAACCCACCCCAGTCTAAAGATATACCATATCCCATTCCCCAGGATGTCACCAACAAGTCTGCTAATGAAAATTAGACATATGCAACATCTGGGTATCTTTAATGTAGACATTTCACCAACCAGTGGTTTTTATCAATACAAATTCTAGGACACAATTTGAAGACAGTAGAACTATATACAAAAGATGAGGTAATCAGTCCCTCAGCCTTGGAGCTGGTATGTCTAATTTTCATCTTGTCAGTATTGTATACCATTCATGTACAAGTCTGCTAATACCTGGGTAGCTATTTACTACTAGATTAACAGGAATAACAGATGTATGGAAACATGCCCAACATCTCCATCCATCACAGAACAAAACATGAGAACAATGGAGTACTGCAGTAGGTCTAGTGACCTATGCTAGGTAAGTCCAAGTCAAATCCAGGTCCTTCAGTTTTGAGCTAAATGTGCTACCCTTAAGCCAAGAGTTATTAATTAATATATTTTATATTTTGGTATAATATCATTATCCATTCCACTAACTCCATGTGATGGGTCATCAAAATGATAACCCCTCATGTAAAAATGTATATATGTTGGTAGAATTACCGACTATGTAAAGTAAAAGGACGAGTGCAACTAATGTGACATTTTATTGTGGCAACGTTTCACTCTCTAGGAGCTTTGTCAAGCCGTTACAAACAATACATGGACACAGAGGGTATATATAGGCTTACAGTGAGGTGCAGTGCTAGTGGTAGAAGTTGTAGTAGTAGTAGTAGTGATATAATATAGTAGAACAATTAACTTGCACACAAGCAAAAGGATATAAAATTATTACTTGGGTAGCATAAAAATTATAACGGCGTGACAAAGCTCCTGGAGAGCGAAACGTTGCCACAATAAAATGTCACATTAGTTGCACTTGTGTCCTTTTACTTTACATGTAAAAATGACTCGAGGACTGCTGGAGGGAAACCCTGAAAGATGCCATAGCTACTGAACCCAAAGAGATGCTTGAAGATATGTTCACCCAACCCATTCCTGCAGAAGTAATATGCATGCATATTACTTGTGCTCAATCATCTTCTTGCCAGATGTATTATGAGTTTCTTAATGTGCTTATTACTAGTTACATATTTATTTTTATAGGTTTATGCAACTTAACCTAACTTACTCCATCACCCCACTGAAGACTCCCAGATCAGGTTGATACATTTCACTGTATCATTTGAAAAACCTATCCTGTGACTGAGTATAACATGAAAACCATTCTGCATGATGAAATATGAATTAAACACTATCTTGTGTAGTGGAGTATGACAGGAAAATCATCCTGTGTTATGGAATATAATAAGTAAAACATTATGTATGTTATTATATGCACAAGAAGGCCTAAGTCTAATGTGGGCTGCCTAAGCTAGAAAAAGAGATCGAAGAGGCAGGGGCATTGGAGGTACTTTATAATGGTTGTGCACAGATGTAGGAATATTGAAGGATGGCATTGTAGGTTCTAGTCAATGGGTGATACGATTATATGAAACAGCTGGCAGCCTGTTGCTTTCATCATAGATAGGTTATAGCCTAGCATATTCATCTTTCATGTTCTCATGTGAAGACAGGACACAGAAGGGAACATACATACAATCAAGCAAGATGAAGTCTTTACTTTATAAAATAAGTGCTAAATCCATAGGAGAGGGAAAGAGGGTCATAGAGTGCCTGGGGAATGGGAGATAAACAGATCTGATCCAAGAATAGGAGGGTAACTCCCTGTCACTGGATTAAAAGCCTTTCACCAGCATCAGAGCTTGGACAGGCCATCTTGTGAGATGGTAATTCCCAAGTAATAGAAACTCAAGTTCTGATGGAGCAAAACTGTTGAAGCTCCTATAGTTAATGAACCTTTAATAAAATACTTAATATCCTCATTGCCCTACTTAAGTCTCCCATCTCAGGCTCACAGATTTCAACCCTGTATGAACCCCATCTTGTGTGATGGAATATGACAGAAAAACATTCAGGTTTTGGTTCCACTATGTAACTATCATATAAAATAGGGTAGCACCTTACTGCTGATGTATCCAATTTTGCTATAAAACCTCAAGAAGCCTCTCTCGAAGGAACAGTGAGATTGAGTTTGTTTGGAAGAGGGATCATTATGATGTGCATAATTATAGATGGCACACTCTAGCATAAAACAATTTCCTGTATGACCAAAGTGTAAAATTTTGGCATTAAATCATACAGTCAAATCAACATCAAAATAAATGGCAAACACATTAACAGAAAAAAATATGAAGGTAAAATTATATGCTAGCACCTGTGTAATGAACTAAAATTTCAAACTCATATCCAATATATTGCAACAGAAGTATCAAAAACTTTGCAGATTCTCAAAAAATCAGCTATTATGTACTTACCTTATTCTTCAAGGGTCTTGATGTTAATATGGGGGTCTTTATCTAGGAAACTGGACTTGTCCTTCCCTTCCTTGGATCAAAGTGGAATGTCGCCCATTCCCCCAGACACTATATGACCTCCCTCGAGGTACCATGCACCTGTGAAGCACCTTATACAGAGGCAATGTGTACATAATTGCGACAACACAAAACCTCTTTCCTTGAACATTTTAGCTATTTGTTTATAGTATAGTAATTTAAAAAGAAAAGCAGGTTTTTCTTCTAAATTTTGGTAATATATACAGGAGAAAGGGTTACTAGCCCCTTGCTCCCAGCAATTTAGTCATTACTTATGACATGCATGGCTTACAGAGGAAGAGAAAATAAAGGAGAACAAGAACTATTAAGAAAATAGAAGAAAACTCAGAGGAGTGTGTAAATATATATGCATGTACATTCAAGTGTAGTGTGACCAAAGTGTAAGTAGAAGAAGCAAGACATACCTGTTATCCCATGTGTTTGAGACAAAAAAGACACCAGCAATCCTACCATCATGTAAAACAATTACAGGTTTCCATTTCACACTCAGCTGGCAGGACAGCAGTACCTCCCTGGGTGGTTGCTCTCTATTGTATTATGGTGAAGAAAACCTCAAGTCACAATGTGTGTACAAAAGCTGTTGTACTTTAATAAAAAGGTTACTCTAAACACAAACTAATTATTTAAGTCAAGAGCTTTATTTATATATCAAACCGATTGTTATTTAAAAAATATTTTTTATATATAAAGTACTGAATAAAAAGGCAATTTTTTATGTAAAATCCCAGTGAAGAATCTTCATCTTAAAAAGTACCCTCACAAAACACAAACTATATTCAACTTAAATTACTAAATATTACTTATATGTACAGTACTTTATATATTACTGTTTCATAAACAATACGTACATACCTTATTTATTATTTCATGTGTATTTTAATAGCACTGACTGCACTTTAATACCAATCGTATGTGATACTTTTAATATTAGAATTCTGTTGAGAGGAAAAAATGTGTGCATCTGTATGCAAATGTAAACGTCTTTGCAGTCATGTACTGTATTGGCCTTGCCGAATACATATGCACCCATGCATGTATGCAATGCTCTTAATTAGCTTTAATCTTGATTTAGCATATTGTCTTCTGTACAAAGGGAATTTGCTTCTTCTTGAACACATCATGTGCTCTCTCCTGTTAGTTTATTGCTAGTTTCTGATGAAAATAGCAACTTTCTGATGGGAGGTCAAATGTATATTTATCACAACCCTTTTCCTTATCATGGTCATGTGTGCGAGTAACTTGACTTGTTAGGGACGGAGCATCTCTCTCTTCTCCTGTCAATTCTTGTGCCATTTCCTCTTAAGTCATTCTTCCTGCTGCTCCTTCACCACCTTCCTGAGCCAGTTCCTGTATCACTTCATCTTCTGTCATTATTACTGTTGTCTTTCCACCTTCTGCTAGTTCCTGCTTTGATTCCTCTTCTATTATTCTTACTGCTACTTCTTCACTGCCTTCCTCAGCCAGTTCCTGTATCACTTCATCTTCTGTCATTATTACTGTTGCCTTTCCACCTTCTGCTAGTTCCTGCTTCGATTCCTCTTCTATCATTCTTACTGCAGCTTCTTCACCACCTTCCTCAGCCAGTTCATGCATCACTTCCTCGTCTGTCATTCTCACTTCTGCCTCTTCACCTTCCTCAGCCTCCATATTTTCTATGCCAGTGGTACAGTCTTCCTCCACTGAAGCATTACTGGGAGCTTCTTCGTTCGCTGGTGTATTTACATTCATGCTCACTGCTGTCTTCAGATTATCTGAAATATAGGCAAAATACTCCTTATTAATGCCCTCTTTAACCCTTAAACTGTCCAAACAGATCTACGTTCACATGCGTAGTGCTCCAAAAGTAGATCTACGTTCTTTTACATATTTTCAAATATATATATATATAAAAAAAAGGTAAATCAAAGTTTTTTTACAAGTTTTCAAATGTAAAAAAAAAAAAGAAGCTCTACATTTTTTACCTACTTTCAAATGTTGAAAAAACGTAGATCTACGTTTGGACAGTTTAAGGGTTAAATTAATTAATGCAAATAAGGAAGTGGGTAAAAATGTTAAAGGAACTATACGAGATGAAATGAAGAGATAAATTAGCCATTAAAAAAAAGAAAAGAAATACTAGATGGATAGATGGATATACAATTTATACACACATGCACACATACTCTCCATGGGTAAGTGGAACAGAATTCTTCCTCCGTAAGCCATGCGTGTCGTAAGAGGCGACTCAAATGCCCGGAGCAAGGGGCTAGTAACCCCTTATCCTGCATGCATTACTATAGTTAAAAAGAGAAACTTTTGTTATTCTTTTTTTGGGCCACCCTGCTTCGGTGGGATATGACCAGTTTGTTGAAAGAAAGAAGAAAGATGCACACATACATATTCTTCTTCTTTCAACAAACCGACCATATCCCATCAAGGCAGATGGCCCAAAAGGAAAAACGAAAGTTTCTCCTTTTAAATTTAGTAATACATACAGGAGAAGGGGTTACCAGTCTCTTGCTCCCGGCATTGGAGTAGCCTCTTATGACATGCATGGCTTACGGAGGAAGAATTCTGTTCCATTTCCCCATGGAGATGCATACATACATGTAAGCATATATAAATATGTACATACAAGTACACATGTGCATGCATGGGCAAGTCAGGCAAGTGGGAATTTTATCAACACAGCTTAGCCCTCACAAATTCTATTCATTATATATGAATCTAATTTATGTATTCCTGCACTCATATTCTATTAGATTTTGTTCAACCATGGATTTACTTGCTACAACCTTCTCGGCCTTTTGAAAATTAATAGGATGGTATACAGTATATTTTTGTTTCTCAAGTACACAAATTTCCACACAGGATTAGATTAAAGGACTTAGTTCACAGCAATATCATTCATTTAATTCCATAAACCCCAACCTTGGTGTCTATTGCATATTAAACTGAGACCTGCATTTTTGTAGTGATGCAATCTACAATGTCTCATGGGAAAGCTAACCAGCCAGTGCTAATCCAAACATCAAAGGCCACCAGCAGTTCCAAACAAAATTTGCACAGTGATCTGCCAGAGTTGCTTCACCACTATAGCAACACCAACCTACACCCATACCATATTTACCTCCTCAATGCCCACTACATCAATTACTTCACCTGTCTTAGACTAGCCAGACCTAAATGAATGTCCAGAGGAATCATCCTGAAAGCCTCAGCAACTGCATCACCATCCTCTCACTTCATCGCCTATACTCTCACCTCACCAGCTTCACTCTCAAGACCATAGAAATAGCTACTTCATCATTAAAAGGTAGTGTGTCCCCACATTACTATTAAAATGTAATATACTGATATACACTTCTGCTTCATGCATACAAGACTACTGTACCTAAGCTAATTCCCAATGATTGTAGCTCATTAACATCCACTATACTCAAGCATTTTAGATTAGAGGTTGGATCGTATTTAGTTAATTAACTATAAAAAAACTTTCTAAATATCTTTAAACCAATTTTTCTGTTCGATCATTTCTCCAACCAACCTCTTACAATAAATATTTCTCCAACCCATGATGATAGAAAATAATAATGATGACATTGTCAGCAAAAAGAATCTATGGCATATTACCGAAGATGTCTACAGACTCGACTGGAGCCTCAAGGTCTTCATTTACTGATGCTGTTTCTTTGGCCATTTCTTTTTGTTGTTTTAACCTTGCCAAGCGTTTTTCCTCTGCAAGTCTTCTATTTCTCTCAATTCGTTCTTTCTGTTCATCTGTCAGTGTCTGCAAAGAGGCCAAGAAATAAAATATCCTAAGGTAAGAGTGTTACACTACACTCAATTTATAAATTATACAGAACCAAAATATGTACGTATATAAATTTATACTGCAATGTGGCAGATGTTGCAAGTACAGTGGACCCTCGACCAACTATGGCATCGATTAACGATAAATCCAACTAGCGATACATTTTAACGCAAAAATTTTGCCTCGACTAGCGCTAAAAAACTCGACCAACACTATTCGTTCCGTCTGAGACGCGTCCACTTCTGGCCAGTGTTTACAAGCCAGCCAGCCACCGTGGTCGCTTCCAAGCATACAATCGGAACATTTCATATTATCACAGCCTTTTTAGTGATTGCACCTGCAAAATAAGTCACCATGGGCCCCAAGAAAGCTTCTAGTGCCAACCCTACAGCAAAAAGGGTGAGAATTACTATGGATATGAAGAAAGAGATCATTGCTAAGTATGAAAGTGGAGTGCGTGTCTCCGAGCTGGCCAGGTTGTACACAAAATCCCAATCAACCGTCGCTACTATCGTGGGCAAGAAAACAGCAATCAAGGAAGCTGTTCTTGCCAAAGGTGCAACTATGTTTTCGAAACCGAGATCACAAGTACTCGAAGATGTTGAGAGACTGTTAATGGTGTGGATAAACGAAAAACAGATAGCAGGAGATAGCATCTCTCAAGCGATCATATGTGAAAAGGCTAGGAAGTTGCATGACGATTTAATTAAAAAAATGCCAGCAACTAGTGGTGATGTGAGTGAATTTAAGGCCAGCAAAGGTTGGTTTGAGAGATTTAAAGGGAAGGGAAAGGACTTGCCACCTCAAGTCCTAATGGAAGGAGATTCCCCTTCTAAACACTAAGACCATCAACACTCTCCCCTCCTCCCATCCCATCAATCATCACCTGATCTTCAATAAAGGTAAGTGTCATGTAACTGTGCATGCCTTCTTCAGTTTGTGTGTATTAAAATTAATATTTCATGTGGTAAAAACTTTTTTTTCATACTTTGGGGTGTCCTACACGGATTAATTTGATTTCCATTATTTCTTATGGGGAAAATTAACTTGACTAACGATGAGCTCTCAGGAACGGATTAATAGCGTTAGTCGAGGGTCCACTGTATATGGAATAGGTGGTATGTTACTAAATGCTGTAAAGAGTTTTTATGAGGATAGTGAGGCTCAGGGTAGGGTGTGTAGAAGAGAGGGAGACTACTTCCCAGTAAAAGTTGGTCTTAGACAGGGATGTGTAATGTCACCATGGTTGTTTAATATACCTACCATCCGACTTACGACATGCTCGACATACGACCACTCGACTTACGACCATGTTTTTTATGCCAAATTTCTGGGAAATAAACAACTAACTATTTAAGTAAAACATGAAATACCAAAATAAAACAATAAAATAAAGTCATTACAAAAATGTGATGTTGATATTCAGTAGTAAAGTTCGACTTACGACCGGTTTCTCGGAACCAAACTCGGTCGTAAGTCGGATGGTACCTGTATATTTATAGATGGGGTTGTAAAAGAAGTAAATGCTAGGGTGTTCGGGAGAGGGGTGGGATTAAATTATGGGGAATCAAATACAAAATATGAATTGACACAGTTGCTCTTTGCTTATGATACTGTGCTTATGAGATGCTAAAGAAAATTTGCAAAGGTTCGTGGATGAGTTTGGGAGTGTGTGTAAAGGTAGAAAGTTGAAAGCGAACATAGAAAAGAGTAAGGTGATGATGGTATCAAATGATTTACATAAAGAAAAATTGGATATCAAATTGGGGAGGAGGAGTATGGAAGAAGTGAATGTTTTCAGATACTTGGGAGTTGACATGTCAGCAGATGGATTTATGAAGGATGAGGTTAATCATAGAATTGATGAGGGAAAAAAAGCTGAGTGGTGCGTTGAGGTATGTGTGGAGACAAAAAACATTATCTATGGAGGCAAAGAAGGGAATGTATGAATTATAGTATTACCAACACTTTTATATGGGTGTGATTCTTGGGTTGTGAATGCAGCAGTGAGGAGGCAGTGGAGATGTCCTGTCTAAGGGCAATGTGTGGTGTAAATATTATGCAGAAAATTCGGAGTGTGGAAATTAGGAGAAGGTGCGGAGTTAATAAAAGTATTAGTCAGAGGGCTGAAGAGGGGTTGTTGAGGTGGTTTGGTCATTAAGAGAGAATGGACCAAAGTAGAATGACATGGAGAGCATTTAAGTCTGTAGGGGAAGGAAGGCGGGGTAGTGGTTGTCCTCGAAAAGGTGGGAAGGAAGGGGTAAGGGAGGTTTTGTGGACTTCCAGTGTGTTTGGTAGGAGTGAATGGAGACGAATGGTATTTGGGACCTGATGATCTGTTGGAGTGTGAGCAGGGTAATATTTAGTGAATTGATTCAGTTATTTTTATATAGCCAGACTTGAGTCCTGAAAATGGGAAGTACAATGCCTGCACTTTAAAGGAGGGGTTTGGGATATTGGCAGTTTAGAGGGATATGTTGTGTATCTTTATATATATATGCTTCTAAACTGTTGTGTTCTGAGCACTTCTGGAAAAACAGTGATTATGTGTGAGTGAGGTGAAAGTGTTGAATGATGATGAAAGTACAGTGGACCCCCGCATAACAATCACCTCCGAATGCGACCAATTATGTAAGTGTACTTATGTAAGTGCGTTTGTACGTGTATGTTTGGGGGTCTGAAATGGACTAATCTACTTCACAATATTCCTTATGGGAACAAATTCGGTCAGTACTGGCACCTGAACATACTTCTGGAGTGAAAAAATATCGTTAACTGGGGGTCCACTGTATTTTCTTTTTGGGGATTTTTTCTTTCTTTTTGGGTCACCCTGCCTCGGTGGGAGACGGCCGACTTGTTAAAAACAAAAAATTATCCAGCTACTATTAGTCATGATAACTATTTTTTTGTCTACTATTAAGAGTAGGGTTGTGGAGGTTATGCAGTCATACCATACCTAAATGTGCAGAAGATTTCTCAATCATACATGACAATACAATGTATACTCCTCAAAAAACTACATAATTACTGTATAAGGATCAGCTTGACTCAAAAAGAAAAGGTGGTAATTTCTCCTGCATACCTTGTTAGGTTGACTTGAATTTGGTGTAGCAGAAGCTGATGGTAGAATAGTTGTTTGGGAGAAGGCTGGGTAGCCCCTGTTACCCAAAAGTTCATCAAATATGTCAATTTGTGGCTCCTCCTCTTTCTCCGCTTCCTCATCAATACCCCGTTTTACTCTGTCCTCAGCCAATCCATTAAGTTCACTTTCGGTAAACATATCTAATCGAAGACGTTTCATGAGTACCTGTACAGAATCCATGGAAACAATTTATGAATGAGGACTTGATACATGTGACTCAACATAGGGCAGCATAAGACTTTGTTATGATTATATTCACTTTTTACAACCCCATTACCACAACTACTGGTATGTGATCCTGTATATCTGCACTATTAAGCTGGTACATACTATAAAAATAAAAAGGTCACAGAAATTATACAGACAAGTAATAAATAGAGAGGTGGTATTCACTACATTTGCATTAATGTGAATAGACTGTAAGGCATCATTATACTGCACATATTTTGAAGTGAAAACGTGTAGAATGGAAGGTAATCAGGTTTGATCCAAGGAAGGGGATTCTAGCCCCAATTCACTGGATCAAGGGGTCCTTTGCTGGCACCCCTTTCCCTCTTAAAGGGGAAAGGTCAATTGACTTTATTTAGCTGATGTCATTATGCTGTACGAACATGTTCCAAACTCAAGTCATCCTAGAAATACGTGATCTCAGATGAAGTGATGTTCTTGAGAAGGGTACAGCTAGAGTGTAGTTGCTGTTGGCTGCCCATCTTGTTGTGTAGAAGCTCACTTCTAGCTGTCCACAGAGTGGAGCCCAATGTGGTACTTTGACAATGTTGGCCAGTACATAATGTTCAAGGCTCTGCTAAAAAGACAGATCTGTCAAAACCAGAGATGTGTCGTCTTGCCCTGTTCTCTATTCTGTCAAGAATAGATAACATTCTCATTCTCGTTATTATGATCTCTTACACTCTGGCTCTCAATCCCTCTCAAATGCTTTTACTTTTTCTAATACCCTTTTTTGTCAAGCCCACAAAAATTATAATGGAGGAAGGAAATAAGATAAAAATATATTTTCTTCAGCTTACCTGTACATTTTTCTTTAGTCCTAACTTTTCTATTTCTTCTAGGGTGTCTTTAAATGGGAGTTTTGGAAAGAGACGGTGTGCCCAATGTTCTAATCTCTTCAAGAGAACAGCAAGATCCTCTTTTTCGTGACCTTTTCCATGGAATTTCACATCTTTAAAAGCTTTCTGGAGAACTGTAATTCCTCTTGGGCCAGCTAACCTGCAATGATTTAACAGCTAGTAATTACAGAAAAATTATCATACCTTCCAATGATATGGATCACAAAAACAAGCATATACTAATTAAGAACCCCAGCAAAAATGGTGGCAAGAATTTAATTTAAAAATTTCAGGGAACTTCTGCAGGAACTTTTCCTTCTTGATGGGACAAATGCAAGCCCCAGAATCATTTAACAAAAGTTTGACACATTAGACTGGCTGTCAAATAAGTGAAGCAGCAACACCAGCCTGCAGTGAGAAACAAGAATACGTGGCAAGTATAAGGAGTGCCTATAAAAATATATTCAACTGGTAGGTAGATGGAAAGAAAAAAAACAAGACATACACAAAAGGAAAAAGTGCATAAAGATAGTGTTCATAGAATGGTCAATGTGAATTCTGATCAATTTAGTGGTCAGGGAAAAATCACTTTACATGGGTCTTAACTGGGTGATTTTCCCAGACCAATAAATAACCAAACATTCACACTGACTTTTCCATGATTACTGTTTTATCCACTTGTTTCCCTTGTGTGTACATCTTGTTTCCAGTTTCTTCCCATCTACTATACCAAATTAAACAACCATGAGTGGCACTGCAACAAGTGTAATTAAAGCATATCTACCTTTAATTATTATTGGTAACAATATGTGCAATGTGTCAAGTAAATAATCAATATACAAGTACTGTAATGTTATTTACTGTGGCTATGTTTGGCATGACAAAGCTTGTGGTAAGCAAAACATAGCTACAATGTCTTACTTGTTTCACCTGTGGAACTGTGGTTATGAAGTGTGCAGTTTAAAACACCAGAGATGCCTCAATGCACCACTCACCTTTTTTTCCCCATCATTAATTCTATGGCTCACCACATCTTTCAATTAAATAATCACTTGATATACTGTAAGAGAGATTATTCAATCCCTATTTTAGGGTTAATGTATTTTTGATGGTAATGAACTCATGGCATGCAGCTTTAATAACCTTTATGTACTCAACAGGTTTTAAACCCAATTAATCAACCATTATAAGATGTATTATTGTTTTTGGCTTACATATGTCTAAAACACAACCATATATTTGGGGACTAGTTAATCCTGTTAGAACAAAATCTCACTAAACGGGTAATTAACAAATAAAATCACAGACACTAACCGATGGGCATCAAGTTTAGGCTGAGGATTCTTAACCACTCTCTTGGGTTTAACAGGCTGCTGTTGAGTACCTGTCTCCTGACCTGGAATAGACCCCATTTTAAAATTTGTAAAGTACGTAACCATAATATACTGTCCTTTATTGTTTCTTTTACTGTATAAAGTATATACAGTAATACAAAACTTAAGATTAATAGAGGAAAATACTGTATATGTATATACCATTGACAAAACAATCATCTTATAGTATAATGATTCACAGTTAATTTTTATTTTACTGTATTCAACAGAATTATATAATATATTTATTGCTGTAGACTATACCTTCCTATATACAGATGTAATACTGTACAAGAGCTCCAAATAGCACAGTGCTATAACATTTATTTCACAAAATTTGAAATGAGGATATGGTGGGACCTGACGAATGTACAGTGGAACCTCGGTACTCAAACAGCTCCCTACTCGAACAATTCAGTATTCGAACGCTTTGTTCGATAAAAAAATCACTTGGTAGTCGACAGATGCTTGGCACTTGACCAAACAAATACGACCTGCCAGAACTTTGTTGTAAACTATTTTGTGTTTCTTCGCATTTTTTGGCATTTTTTATATTATTTGTATAAGTCACCATGGTGCCTAAGATGATTAGTGATAACAGCCAACAAAAAAGAAACCTGGTTGGGAAAAATTTGTTTGGTACTCAAACAGATCAGCATTCGAACAGCCTTCTGGAACGAATTAAGTTAGAGTACCGAGGTTCCACTGATTAGGACAGATATAGAATGATCTACTTCTAATACACTGTTTCTGAAATAATATTGTGGTCAAAAACCATGTGCTATACCTATATGGGTCATATGACACTGTTGCTGAAAATGGCTATCAATATTATGAAGTGCAAATCAATCAACAAACCTGGAAAGATCACATCTGAATGAAAATTAATTGTAGCATGCACTGGCATGTAGACCCAGTGCTTGTGATTTACTCCAAATTTTATTATGAGAATTATGGTTTGCCTATATCTTGCACATCAAAGCATTAAGACTACTTGTCTCGACCCACTCCCTTCAATGTAACATGTTCACACACACCTGGTGGAGGCTCAAGCCCCGACCTTTTACACCTTCCTTCACATCCTCCCTCCCTCCAACCCTTCCTAGGATCACCCTCTAGCCTTCCTTCCATCCAAGATTTATACAGCCTAGTCATCCTCTTCTGCTTCATCCTCTCTAAATGCCCAAACCACCTCAACAACCCTTCCTCTGCCCTCTGACTTATACCTTTCTCATTGCCACAGCATCTAATTTTTACACTCCAAATTTTTGCATAAAATTTATACTTCACATTGTTCTCAAGCATGACATCTCCATCGCTTTCAGCTTCCTCCTCACTGAAATGTTTAAAGCCCTTGCGTCAAACCTGTATAAAGAGATTTTTACCACTACACATATACTTATCTCTTTGCCTCAAAAGATAAAATTCTTTCTTTCCACAGATGCCTCATCATTCTATCCTCCTTTTTCCCTTCATTTATTCTGTGATTCACCTCATCTTTCACTGAGCCATCCATTGATATGTTCACTTGTAAATACAGCATCGAAACAATCATTTTCTCCATCCCTCCAATTTAATAACTAATTTTTTCACTGCCTAAATTTTTCTATTACTCTCAACACCTTCCTCTTTTCTATGTTCACTATTAAAATTACAAATTCTTAGTTACTGTACAGCACTATGAAAAACAAATAAACAAAAAAAAGACTGTACATAGACAAAATCAAAATGTTTCAATACTGAACCAAAAGTCACGTACTTGCACCAGCTTCAGGAACTTCAACTGCTTCCTCCATTGGATTATTTACACCTCCATCATCGCTATCCTCATTACCTTCAGCTTCTGAATCTGAGTCTCTGACACTGTCTGCTTCCCGATGCCCAAACAACTCTTCAACATTAAGATCCATGGCTGGGGTCAATCTATTTGATCAACTTTTTAATCTGTTAAATTGATATGAATTATATACAGATATACTAAATGCAGCACCAGATATACATGTATATGCCATATAATGTTTGGAATTTTTTTAATTCAGCTAAATAAAAAACTTGAGACATTTTAAATCTCATGGCAACAGGTGTAACTGCAATTTTCAGTTGGCTAGTTTTCAAAAACAAATGCTCAGTAAGTCATTATGTTCTATGGAAGTTTTGAATCACAAATATTGATTTAAAAACTGTATGTTGAATAACTACACGAGATATGACAACAGTTTACTAGACAATATATTACGTAAAAGGTTGATGCTTAGAATTCTGGATGTGCATGTTTTTAGACAGGCAATATGCATCAGATCATTGTTTAGTGGTTTACAAAAGTGATTAGATAAAGGCACAAGGCCAAGAGCTAAGTATCATCAAATCCAGCCAACATACATCAATCAATCAAGTTTATTCTTTATAAGGATTACAATGCGGGGTTTACAGATTTTGGTTATTGTGTGGTTTACATGTAATAAAATACTAATTACAGAGGGGGCCACTAGGACACCTAGCATGGCTAGGCATTTCGGGCAAACTTAGATTAATTCTTAACCCTAAATTATTACAAATTATGGAGTAAGTTGACTAAATACTAAGTGACTAAATACTAGTTCGTGAGTTTAACAATGTGAATGCTTTTGTTTTGGCACAATACATAGTGTCTATATTGGAGTATCACAGGCAAACTTACGACTAGTTAGGAATCTTCACTTTAAGATTAAGATTCGTATTTCTGTGCTTATAGTCAAATGGGTGAGTGAGTGGAAGTGTGAACCACCAGGTGGTTTTTATGTAGTTAGTTGACGGGGTGTATCAGGGAGATAAGATATTTTCTAACGGTAGTTAGTTAGAAGTGCACATTACTGAGTACATATACATCTGGGTGCCTTTATGGAGACTACCTCAAACTATTATTTCACTTCTCCATTAATTATTACTCACAAAATATAACACAATTTGCAAATATTGCAAACAAACCATGGAATGGGCGAGGACTGAACACATGGCAAGCAAGCTGTAAAGACTTGCATTTGTGGTTTGGCTTAGCGCTTCTTTTTGATTATAATAATAATTGCATTTGTGGTCACAGTGGTGGCCCATGCTAACCTCCCTATGGTGCACAGATTATTATTATTATTATTATAATCAAAAAGAAGCGCTAAGCCACAAGGGCTATACAGCGCTGCAGGGTAGGGAAGGAAGCAAGGGAATTGGATGGCAGGAGGGAGGGGGGATGATCAGCAGGTTACAGAAAACAGCGGGGCAGGGGATAGTACGGGGGTAGAGGGTAGCAAGAGATACAAGTAGAAAGGGCTGAAAGTATCAGAATTTGTGAAGTAAGTCAGTCGTTGTCAAAAAGTCAATAAGAGAGTCCGGATGAAAGGTGGGTCCATCAGCGAGAAGGGAAGGTAAAGAGAGAGCAGCGGGGCGAAGACGACGACAGAGGTAAATTCTGCGTGCTCGTTGATAAAGTGGGCAGTCCAACAGAATGTGGCTGACTGATAAATGGAGCTTGGCAATTCTCACAGAGAGGAGCAAGACGCCTCTCCATGAGATATCCATGAGTAAGACGAGTATGGCCAATGCGAAGACGGGAGAGAGTAGTCTCCCAACCTCGACACTGGTGATAAGAAGACGGCCAGTAACCTATACTCGGTTTAATAGACTGAAGTTTGTTGCCGAGCATAGTAGACCAACGTTGTTGCCAAACGGGTGTGAAGGTGGGAAGATATTACAGCAAAATAGTCCGTACATGGAATACCTCTATAAGAAACTGGTAGGTCATGTACTGCTGACCGCGCAGCAGTGTCTGCCTGTTCATTGCCCTGTACGTCAACATGACCAGGGACCCAACAAAAAACAATATCTTTATGCTTAGTAAAGATGCGGCGTAGCCCAAAATTGGATACGGAGGACTAAGGGGTGGGTGTATAAAATTTTTGTATAGCCTGTAAACCCAAGGGAGTTGAGACAACCACAAATGATGACCAGGCATAATGCAAACGGTTTAAGTGTGTAGGATGGCATTAATTCGCAGTAAAATACTAGTAAAGTGTAAATCCCTTGTCGACGCTGCCCGGAAACACTGCGGGAAAATCACCCCGTCAGAAGATTAGACCCTTGTGAAAACCCGCAATGGCTGGAATGAGGTGAAAGTGGTCAAGAAAAAGAGAGGGAAGCGCCCGTGACATTTGGGGTTCGAGCAAGGGGGGAGAAAGAACAGATCGAACAGCTGGAACTTCCCAGGGGGGTGGGGAAAAAAAAAAGTGAGATGCAAATTTTAATAAAAGGTGGTGGGTGAAGAGAAGACAAGAGCAAATGAAGGCGAAGAGAGGGGAGGGAAAGTAAGCGGGGCGGCGAAAAATAAAGAATGTCTTAATATCGTGAATTCTATAAATGGAAGGATTGCGGAGATCAGAGGGTACATGTAGCGGGCAAGGGCATCACGGCATGGACAAGGATGGAAAAGGGTTCGCTCGCATAGGGGCTTTCGACGGGGGGAAGGCGAAAAACCCCAAAGGCATAAACGTAATCCTTGGTGATAAATGGGGTTAAGGCTAGAGGGGTAGCAGGAGATCCCCGCTGAATAGATTGGTCACCATAATCAATTTTCGATAAAAAAAGGGGTGGATGTAGGTGAAGGGGGGTTCGACACCCGCTCCCCACAAAAGATGAGAAAAGGGTTTTTTAAGAAGGTTCCCCGGCTGTGACAAGTTCCCTTCAGAGAGGTAATGTGAGGTTTCCAGGAAAACTCGATCAAAGAGGAGGCCCGAAATTTGACTGTATAGTTGGGATACGTGACCCATAGAGGTACAAAGGATGATCGGATGACAGAGCGTCTTGTGAAAGTGATTTGGGGGTTTTTTGGCTGGAAAATTTTTAAACCATGTGTGGGGGCCCAAATGGAAAACAGGTCGACGCATCTGGAGAAAAAACTGTAGGAGGGACAGTCAGCGCCCTGCACAGGGAAATAGCGAAGTCATCAACTAGGTGATGACCAAAATTTTTGATGAAGACTAGGGGCCCAAATCTTTAATAGAAAGGAGAAAAAGTGTTGTGCCAGAACACATCCCTGGGGGACCCCTTTCACTTGGAAAAAGTCGGGGGGAGAGCACATTAAAACCCCGAACCGGAAAGCCTGTCAGTTAAAAATTTTTAAGGAAGGATGGTAGATTCCCTCAAAGGGCTAAGGATGGATTGGGCAAAATTTTATACCCCCAAGTTGGTATTGCCTTCTAAGGTCAAAAAATATGGAAATAATAAAAGTGGTTTTTCGAAAAAGGCATTAGAAATTGTATCAAGGCAGTAAGGGGTCTATGGTAGAAGTCCTTACGAAACCCAATTGAGATGGAGGATGTTGGTGTCTCTAAATACCACACTAAAAGTTTTTTACTAGAGTTCCATTACTTTGCAAATGCCTGGTAAGAGCAAGGGGAAGATGTGGGAGGTTTCATGTCCGTGTCCCGGGTTTTTGCGGAAAGGGGAACAATGGGGGTTTTCCCACAGCTGGGGAAAGAATCCTTGTGCCCAAATTAAGTTTAAAGGCTAATAAGACTGAAAGGGGCTGTTTGTGTAAATGTTGTAGCTACGAATTGAATGTCGTGGGGGCCAGCTGCCGATGATCGACAAGTGAGAGTGTTGCCTCCAGTTCTTGAAGTGAAAAAAAGGAAAATTATATGTTCTTTCTGAGAAAAAAAAGCCCAAGGGTGCAAAAATCTTGGAGATTTGGGGGAAGAAATGGGGGGGCATAGAGGGGTCTGGGGGAAATACGGCCCAGTGATTGCCAATTTCATTGGCAACATTAGTGGGTTTGCATTCAACACGGCAACTCGAGAACGGACCCGGGGGGTCGGAAAATATTTACCACTCAGTTTTCGTATTTTTTTCCGACTGCACTCATAGAGGAAGCAAAGGGGTGTGGTGGAGACATATCTCCCCAGAAAGTGCTTTTTTAGCGTCACGGATGACACGGCGAGCGTGCACGCTTTTTTTAAAAAACAAGGAGTCGCTTGGGGTTTCTATTGTACGGTACCTCCCCCATGCAGCGCGTTTCAAACGTAGCACGAGCACAAGAGGAGACCCCAACAGATTTTGAGAATCCCCTGCCCGAATTTTGGGGTTTTTGAATGAGAAGCTGCGGTGGAAAACGGAGGACGGGGAAGAGGTGAAAAAGCTCATCGATGGGGACGAAGGGGAAAACCTCTTTAAAAAAACAGTCGGTGTGAGTAAAGGTTCCAATTTCCCGATTAAATTCCAGCGTGGGGTCAAAGGGTGGGAATTGAAGGGGAAGAAAAAGATTGGGAAATGACCCTGTCATGAAGCCCGGGGGGAAAAACCAAGAAAATTTAAATGCGGGGGGGAAGAGCAAACGAGAGATCGAGCAAGAGAGAGTATGGCCGAGGTCAAAATGGGTGTGAGTCCCTTTTTTTAAAACATGGGGGGGTGGGGTGGCAAAAAAAAGCCTCTAACTGAATCCCGGGAATCACAGTGGGACCCTCCCCAGAGGAAAGGGGGGGGCATTAAATCACTAAGTAACAGAATCGGTGGCGGTAATGACGAAAAAAGGGAAAGGAAAAACCCGGAATAGATAACCCCGGAAGGGAGAGAAATAAAGAACAGAGGTTACCACCTTGTAAGTGGAACGGGTTTCGTGTAAATGCAGCGAAGTATGAATAAATAGCTGATGGTACGGAATTCGTGCGGAGAAGAAGGGGACTTTTATTAAAAGGTCCTCAGAAAAGGTCTGAAGAATACAATAAATTATAGCTGGATGGAGAAATAACAGCAGAGTGTAATTTTGGGGTTCCCGTAAGCAAACACCAACAGGGGCAAACTGGGAGGAAAATCTGAAGCACCCCGATTCCCCTAGGCGCGTATATCCCCTGTTTAAAAGCCTGATTTCAATGATAAAGATATTGAAACCGCAGGTAAGGGTTCCCCCGGCTAGAAGGGGTTTGAAAAATCCCCATGCGGGGGCAGTGGAAAATTTCAAGCAGCGAAGGAACGGTGCGCTGTGAAGAAAGGAGTTGCGCGATGGAAACAGAGGGGGAGAGAAAGAGCGGAAGGTGGGGCATGTCCCTTGCGGTTTGGTCTCTGCAATATATTCAGAGATTGCTTCAAATTTTTTCGGGGAAATTTGAGAGTCGTATGGGAGACAATTTGGGAATGGTAGGGGGGGGATGAGTAAAGATTGGAACTGTATTTGGGCTGCCCCAAAGGGAGGGGGGGGCGAAAGGGTGGGGGGAACTGGAGAAGCGTGGCAGGGGGCAGAAGAGAAGGGGAACCCGGGAGGTGGCGAAGAGGAAGAAACTTGGGGGGAAAAAGGGGGGGAAGGTCATTCGGGAGGAGGTGACCTCTGCACTTGTAACTGAGCCCTGAGAGGGGGGAAAAACTGGGGCAGAGAAGGGAGGGTAAAAAAGAGGAGGTGGGAAAATGGGGAGGAGGTGTTTTCCGGACCTTTTTTTTTATTTTTAGAAATAGGGGACGTTGGGAAAAGGGGGTGTACGAGGTCTCGTCGTATGGGCTTGTAAGAGAGAACTCGAAGAAGCGAGATTAGACTGAGGGTTGAAGTAGGGAGTCTGAGCCGAGGACAGCAAAAAGGGTTAGATACAGGAGTGATTATGGGGAGGTAACCACAAAATGGGTGTAGAAAATGGGTACCGAAGTGGGGGGAGTTTTGAACACGGGAATAAGAAACCGGGGGGTCTCCCTTTGGGGGGGAGATGAGAAAAATGCCTGGATAAGGGAGATTCTGTCTCTTTGAGGGTAAAGGTTTTTTCCCCCTCGTTTTAAAAAGACCTGAAACGGGAGATTCGAAAGGGTGAGCCTTGCGTTTAAGGCAAGGGGAGATCGATTGCAAGACGTATTGAAGGTCATCGGCACCCAGAGGGCTTCGGCGATTTTGATCTGCAATATTTCGCTGGATGGCCAAAACGCCAGCAATTTTACCTGTTGTGGTGTTGGGAACCCTTTCGAACTTTTAACCGATGTCCGCTATATAAAAGGAGGTGGGAGTTCTCGGGTCAAAAGTTAAAAGAGCCCCTTGCTGGGGATCGTCTCCCCCCCGGGCAGGAAAAACGTAAATGTCTACCTTTGGGGTTGGGAGATCTTGGAGTTCCCCGTGTTTAGAATGTCGGGCCACTGTCTGGAAATTTTGTTGAATATGGTATGGGGAATTTTCGGTCCACTACAAGAATTGGGGAATGATGTTTTTTAAGGGTGCAGGAACAGTATCTAATGGGAAAGACGAGAGGCTCACGAGCCCGGGGAGATTCGTACGGTAATGATGCGGTACGCTCTTAAGAGCATGAAAAGAAAACTTTACCAAAAATGGCGTAGGAGTGCCTTGCCAATACTATGGGCGAAAAATAGGCAGTAGAGGAAGTTGGCGTAAGTGAAAATTTAGTCCACTGTTCAGTCTGAAACGAGCGTGGAAAAGGTAGTGAAAGGGCGTGTCGATCGTTTCTGGAAAAACGGAAGGTGAAGGTGGAGAAGATCATCAGCAGGGAAATTTTCTTGACGTTTAGGCTGGGACCGAGTTGGTCCGACGTGGAACGGGTCGGCGATTTTAAAATTGCCCCACCCGGGGGGAAGAGGGGGAAGCATAGTCAGAGGAGGCGAAGGTTTTAAAATCGAAGGGGCAGTCGAGGCCCCCAGTACCTGAAACGGGTGGGAAACAGCACCGGCAATAGGGCAGAGGCATGAGGAAGTCTGAAGAGTGGTCCAAAAATGAGGCGGGGGCAGACGGGGTGCGGTATCAAGAAGGGGCCCCGGGGGGGGTACCCGGTTCATGGCTAGGGCTGCCATGGTTAGGTTATTCTTTTTTTTGTTTTTAAGAAAAAAAAAAAAAGAAGAAAAGAAAAATAAAAATAAAAAAAAGAAAAAAAAAGGGGGGGGGCCCGGGGAGGGGTAGTTCAGGGGGAATGAAAGGGCCAGAAATCTCCCTCCGCGCCCAAAAGGACTCGAACCCCTGTAGCGCAGATGCAGCTGGAACCCCTTTCCATCCCTCCCCCCTTTAGCCGTAAACCAGCAATCTGGATAGCAACCCCAATCTGCCCAGCTACCTCGGGGCAAAAAAAGAGGGGGGGCCGGATTTTCGCCCCAAAAATCCTCCCCTTAGCCACCACCCCGGAATCCGAAAAGGGGGCTTCCGAGTCACCCGTCGCCCAAAAAAACACCAAAAACTACTCCGGGATACCGGGGGGAGGGATCGGGACATCCCCAGGCAATCCAGATTCCCGGCAAACTACGCCCCCGCCAAGAAACCTCAACGGAATGGGTGGACCCGGTGTCCTTTCCCTACCTAGGAAAAAGGCGCCCCTGGGAGAAATCAGAAGGCTAAAAGAGGGAAGGGCAAAAAGGGAGGGTGAGGGGAGGGGGAGGAATGGAAAAAGGGGGGGATGGGGAGGGGGATAGGGGAGGGGAGAATGGGGGGTAATTAGGTTCGGTTGGGAAGAAGACCGACAGGGCTAATTCTAGACCAAGAGCCTTTCCCACGCCAAGGAGCCCCCCCTTGAAAAGGTTTGGTGCACAGAAAAATTCTAGTTGGATGAAATTTTTTGTAGCCAGCTGGCCCAGTGGTTAGGCACTGGTTTGGGGTTTTCAAACCCCTTGCCCTGGTTTTAATCCCAACCCGGGTTTTGTGGTTTGTCAGTAATTATTCTCTGTTGGGCTGATAAAACTATGGTTACCAAGTAAAAGTAAAACTACTGGTACAAGTGTATTTGTAAATATTATTTAATCATATTATTATTTTATAATCAAGGGGAAACGCCTTTAAAACCCGGGGGGATTATACAGGCCTGGGGTTGATGTGGAAGGCATTCAGGCTTTTTGGGGAAATGGGCACAGTCCCAAATTTCCCCAAATCAAGACCCCCCACCAACTCAAGGAACCTTCCTTGGGGGTATTTTAATCAAAAATATCGCAAACCCCCCAAGGGGGCTAATGACCAATGAACTGTTATTGCCTTATTAGTCCTAAATTAAATTTTAAATTTGCCCCAAAGCTCGCTAAAAGGGGCTTTTTTCTGTAACCAAAATATTATATTCCTTTGTCAAACCCTATTCTATCAAAATAAAAATTTTATTACTATTATTATGTGAGGTACACAAAGGACGTTATCTACATAGCAAAAAATGTGTAAAATTTCCTAGGATGACCAAATCCGGAAATTTTAAGGCAGACGTGGTAGCAAAGTAGTAGATTTTTGCCAGGTAACCAGCGCAAGGGTGTGGTTATGCCAGACAGTGTTGTCATGAAGGGGGAAACATTGTTGAACAAGGTTATATTTTGGGCGAGTTAACCTCCTGTTGTTAGGGTTGTTAGGGCCACCATGGTACACACCGTACTGAAACCTCTAAGGCAGTGTAATTTTTTTTTTTTTTTTTTTTTGGGGGGGGGGGGGACGCATGACCCTAGTGGGTTTAGCGATTATTTTGATTATTATAATAATGTAAGTTTATTTAAGCACAGGTACACATAAGTACAATTATTATACATGGTGCAAATTACATAGGATAATCTAAAAAGGTCAGATAAAGGTGACTTATTTCTACTGAGGCCCTTGAAGCAATTAAAAATACATAGTATGTAAGTAATTTTATTTAGGCATAGGTACGCAGTACAATTATAACCCAAAAAGAGTCAATCAAACTACATTGTAATATTTTTGTGACACTTTATGTCTGCATAAATAACTCATTATGGCTGTAACCAAATATATGTAAATAGTTCATTACTACTGCAACTTGCTTAGCTATCAACACTCTGGGGCCAAGTTGTGAAAGCTTCCAGCTGTGTCCTCATGTAGCTGAAAGCAACAAATACGGCAAACAGTTTAGTTTGTAAGGTACTATGTACCTATGCCTAACTAAAGTTACGGTGGCCCGTGGCCTAGTGGTTGAAGCTCTCGCTTCACATGCTGAGAGTTTCCAGGTTCGATTCCCGGCAAGGGTAGAAACATTTGGGCATGTTTCCTTACACCAGCTGTCCCTGTTCACCCATCAGTAAACTGGGTACCTGAGTGTTAGTCGACTACTGTAGGTCGCATTCTGTGACAAAATTGACCTAATTTGCCCGAAATACTCTACATAACAAGCGACTTTCTATTTAGTAGTACGTCATTAAAGTCAACTAGACCTGCATGTCTTGTACATGTACTTGTAGAAATAAAGATATTATAAATATGACATTTCAATGAATCCATTAATCTCTGTAATCCCCTCTCTTAATAATTTATGTATATCTGTGTTTAGCTTCATGCACAAGCATGCTACATTCAGGACTCAGGCTATTTAGTGCAAGCGATGAGGAAAATTACAATTAAACTGCTGTATAGCCCTTGTGGCTTAGCGCTTCTTTTTTTGATGATGATAATAATAATAATAATAATAATAATAATAATAATAATAATAATAATAATAATAATTAATAATAATAATACAATTAAACTGTCCAAGATCGAAGTTTTCACACGATTTGGACAATACAATTTTTCTCTGACTCCCGGGATCCTGGGGTCAACAAGGTGTCAGGTTTGGTAGCCCTGAACAACCCCAACAACTACAACAACAATTATTAAATTCTGATCAAACTGCAGGTATTAATCATTAATCAATTTTATTTCTTTGCAAGTAGTACATTGAGATTATGTATTTATAATAATGAGTTGCAGTACAAAGAGCCACTATCATGCCTAGGCATTATGGCCAGACTTAATGGCTTACTGACTACTTAATACTAAAGAATTTATCATAGTTTAAGTTGTACAGTAGTTTCAATAGTAAATATTTAAATTATATAATGGGAATATAACATTGTGATTTGCTGAAAGTAGTTTACAGTATGAGAATGTTACAGTTGGGTGGCCCGGTGGCCTGGTGGCTAAAGCTCCCGCTTCACACACGGAGGGCCCGGGTTCGATTCCCGGCGGGTGGAAATTCCGACACGTTTCCTTACACCTATTGTCCTGTTCACCTAGCAGCAAATAGGTACCTGGGTGTTAGTCGACTGGTGTGGGTCGCATCCTGGGGGACAAGATTAAGGACCCCAATGGAAATAAGTTAGACAGTCCTCGATGACGCACTGACTTTCTTGGGTTATCCTGGGTGGCTTACCCTCCGGGGTTAAAAATCCGAACGAAATCTTATCTTATCTGACAGTGCTGTTTTGGGTAGGTATTTGTACTACTGTGTACTATTAGTCACTGTATGAACTTGGGTGTCTAGTCTTGAAGTTTTAAGATTTAGGTAATTCGGAGATTTTTTGGTAAAGTTAAATATTGAGTATTTAGTCTAGGGTGAGTAAGTGGCTTCTGAGAAGTGTCTTAAATTGATTTTCAGACTGCATTACTTTAGTACTTTCTGGTAATGAATTAAATT